TGTAAAGTAAAAGACGCCAAGACGATGCTATGCTCAATGCACAACATCACAAAAGAGACAGGTATGGTTCACAAAAAAAATAGCAGCTGAATTATGCTATAACTACGTTTAGCTTACTATCATTTTTTCTATATGCTCAAACAGTCACATTTTAGTCATCACGGTATTTTTCATTCACACTAAATACATACCATTCGCAACACATACTTACAGGTGTCAAAGCCCCGTACAACAGAAACAAATGGAAATGCTTTACAGCAGTCACAATGCCTCGTGACTCACTCTCATACCACGCTCCCCCACCCCGCCCCACAGATTGTATGAATGTTTGAAATATGAATGTTCTCAAATATGGCAGTCAAGCTATTTTTTGTTCCTATTTATAGCAGGCCCATTCAAATACATGGCGTTTTTTACACCCTCGAAGAAAAAAAGTTTTTTTGACGGACAAAATTAAAACTTTTTAAAAGCAAAATATATAGAAATGTTCCTCTGATCACGAGGAATCGAATGGTGCTATTTTTATTGAAAACAGATAAAGTTTTCACCTTCATCTACGCCGCACAGCAAACTGAACGGCCTGCCATAAATAGAAACTGTTCTTAAATATAGCAGTCAAGCTACTTTTTGTCCGGATCGAGATGCAAAGAACTGAAATTTTTCTTTTTTGATAAAAATGTGATGAAAAATGCATAAATAACAAATAAAGATTTGTTTGTAAAAGAACTGTTGTGTATGATGTCTGGAAGTTAAATTGAACAAGTAATGTTTAAATAAGAAAATTGTAACAATATCTTGTTAAATAAAGGAACTAAATCTCATATGACATATTACAAACGTTGAAATCAAGACGATATCGTGTAAAGATATGTCATAATCTCAAGTGTACTTTGTATGAAGTTCTACTTTTCTGATCGTCCCACATGTTAGCAGTGGTGAAGATATACTCATGAAGATATTTGTTTCATTACATTCTTTTCACAATTATATGTTGCCCTTGTACAAGCTGCTATTGCTTACAAAAGCTTCCGAAAGATATGAGCTATCATACAACAAGCGTGAAACATAGTCTTTGTACGCCACACTACAAATGAATCTACTGCTACTGAATTCAATGTAATCTCATTTTTTTTATTCCTTTAAGACTGTTTAAACTATATAATTGCAAGAGCAGTATCTACTTTTACATAACAGTCTAATGAAGAATTGCTAAGCAAGTTTAGGGAAAGTTGTTTTATTATTTTTCAAAGTGTACTATATTCTTTTCTGGTACCAGTTTGTCCCCAGAACAATTCGTTAAAAAAGTGAATTATCGAGAACTTACTCAGTTCCGACGGGATTATTTTAAACCTTGATAGTTAGTAACCAAATAATAAAGTATTTTATTTATAAGATAATCCTTCATTACTTCATGCTGCATTTAAATCTAATCTACTGAAAAGAAATATCTTTATTATAACATCATAACGTACCTTAAGATGTAAAATTTGAATATACTCCAAATAAAATAAATAGTCGTCTGGGCTAATTCGGATCACTTGAACAAAAAATCACCTTATTTTGGTCATTTCTCAGCCATTTTACATCAGAAAAATAGATTTCACCAAGTATTGAATCTCGTAGCAATGCTTCCATACACATTGACTATTACCTTTGAAGATATTTCCAAAAGATATTTTTTCTAATAATCTTCATAAGTTTCATAATTTTTGACGTTCGTCTCTTGGATTCGATCTGCCGACCTTTCATACGCTGCACTTCTCCAACTACGTATTTTCCCATTGCACTAAAATACGTGGTTGAAGAAGTGCAGCGTATGACAGGTCGGCAAATCGAATCTAGGAGAAGAACTTCAAAAATTATTCTAATAAAAACTCTCCTATAAACAGTATTCTTTAGAAAACATATTTTGAACAAGAGCAAAATTCTCTAGAAGTTTCAGTCTTCTCCCTTGTCTGATGAAATTATAGATGAAACAAAAACGAATGATAAAAACTGATTTTGTCATCCTATAAGAATGCATTCGCAAATTATTTACTTTATTCAATAATAATCAAAACTTGTTGATACTGAACAAACAAAATCTGTTACGAGCACGCTATAAATACTTCTTTGTTCTAGATCAAGACAAAGTTGTTTACAAAAAGAACGACAGATATACAGTGGGCGTCCAAGCGGACATTTGGCAAAAAACCGACAATTTGCATTTTCAAAATTTAAATAGTGTGCATCTATGGTGGATGCGGTTTTTCTTCTGAATTTAGATACAGGTTTTCTAAAGAACCGCTAGTTTTTGAGGTATTTTTCATTTTTCTCGGTTAAGAAATGTTTTTATTAGGAATATAATGAATTAGCGAAAGTCAGAATCAGCGTCAAAAGCTGCATCGAATGACATATAATTTGTTCATTTTCTGAATAAAAAAGTCTTCGATAAAAGTTTAGGGCAGGGCTCTCTTCCTCAGGCAGTTTTCGTCCAAATATTATTTTTCTCCGAATTAGAATTTTTTTAATTTATAATAACCTTTCAAATGTAATAACGTGATACTGAGCAAAAATAATCGCTTTCTGAATGAAAAAAACACATGTCCGCCTGGTCTATAGAAAAGTGCCCAGTCTGCGATACATCCAGACTCTTGTTTATGTTGTTCTTTCTCCTTCATGTGACATATCACGATACAGTAAGAATGCTGTTTTTATTTTATTTTTCCAATCAAATAACACATTAATTTTTCAGTTGGTTTTGCGTCTTTCTTTAGTTTACTATCGTTAGGTTTCAGCAGAGATGAGGAAAAACACTGTATTTAAAGGTGAGATTGATTCTCGTTCTTTCATAAATCTATCTAATTCTTAGATTAGCGAAACACAATAGGAGAAAGTCAAAAAAATGGGCAACGAGGAGAGCAGCATGATTAATGTTAAATATGATCGTTCAATATTATTTTTCTTTACCGGAGAGAAAATATCAGGACAGATCACTTTTCAGAATACTAAAGATTATTTGAAATGCAACGGAATCTATATAAAACTAAGTGGTGAAGCAGGATATACGACGTTGGAACGAAAACCAATTTCACATAATCAACGCGATGATCATGGGCGCTATTCACCTGAAGCGGAAACCTATACCAAGTCTCATAGGGTTCCGTTCTGTGAGGTTCAAATACCAGTTGCAGAACCGGAGAATGACCAGGTAAGATCGAAGGAGAGAGATATCGATCAAGTTCATTGCTATTTATCGGCATAAATTTAAATAATGCTTGTTTTAAAAATTCTACAATTATATTATCTTTTAAGGGAGGGTCCTTCCACCCATTTGTTTCGACCAATTGTAGAGCACACTTTAAAACATATACTTCAAGCCTTTTTTTGGTTTCGGGATCCGTAGTTTTTGAGAAAAAAATTTGTTAAGTTCCGCATAGGGTCTTTGTCCAGTTTTTAAAATCTCCATAAATATTTCATTTTTCGAGATAGAACTTTGCATCTTTCGTCATTGGGGAGAGCACATTGAGATCTATATGAAAAATAACTTTTGTCTTTATCGGGTGACGTCTGACGGAGAAACTTGACTTTGACTTGCCCATAGCAAATCTAGTGCAAAAAAGTATTTAGAAGAAAGCCTTAAACAGCGTTTCGCTTTAGGAAAGCATTATGGAACAAAAGTGTGGGAAGGAACAAGAATTGTTCAGCATCAAATTCTGCGTGAAAGAACCGAAGAAATTTTTGAAATATCTTAAACTCGATTTTTAAAGCCCAAAATACTGGTTTTTAAAGTTTAACTTTTCGTAAAATTTAATTTTACGAATTTAAAAAATTCCTTCGGTTATTTCATGCAGAATTTGATGCTAAACAAGAAATAATTTTGGACAACGCTAGAACTCATACTACTAAAGCATATTCATTACAAGAATTTGGTAAAAATATTGGTACTCCGTGCCCGGCTGAAAAAATCGAATATGTCGATGAAAATGGTGCAGCAAAAGTTATTGATTGTTGTTTTAAACAGGGGGCAAACAAAGATAAATCAATAGGTTTAGTCGAACTATGTAAAGATTTAGGTGTAAAATTACCAGCTAAAGTTAAATTACATGAAATTGGTGGAATACTTTCAAAACATCGAGCTTTTCAAAATGTAAGGGAAAGTCATTCCATATTTCTAAAGATATACTGCGTTTCATATAATTTACTCTATTGTCTTGGTTACAAAACTGGAGATGCTAGCGATCATATATAATGTTAAGATTATATACTGCCCTAAATATCATTGTGAACTAAACGCAGTTGAAGGTCTTTGGTGCAATCAAAAGGCATTGGTTCGTTCACGTGCAGATCAAAGTTTTGAAAAAAGGATAAAATTAATATTGGATTCTCGTATACATTTTGTCGAACGAAAAATTGCATTAAAATTATTCCGGCGTTTTTGGCGCTCAACCGAAGCATATTCCCAAGGTCAGACATATGCTGACGAATCAAAACTGTTTTTCAGTCAACTCTGCTACACATCAATTCAATCACATCGTAGAACATCAAATAAAAACATTAATGAACATATTTTTTCTATTCCTACACTTTTATTCTGCATGTTTCCGTTGATATTATATAGCAACGCATGAAGAGTGACCAATCTGCCCATTAAAGATCATGAAATCACTATCGGCACTTAATGCTTTATCGCTTCTTTCCATTCATCTTCACTAAGTTCAAAAAACGATCTACTCGGATGTTGCACAAGAAAATCAGATACCATACTGCTACGGCCATGACCTTTTGAGAAAAACGGTGTATTTTCTTTAAAAAACCAGCATTTCGGGCTAACTTCAACGCTTCTAACGATTCATTCATCATGAACTAGTAAAGATAAACACGAAAAATAGCATAATAGAAATTATATCTAAAAATTGTCGATTACTTTGCTTACATATAAGTATTCTACGACGATTTTCGATCGGAATATTCCACATAGGTGTATCACCATCAGTATAAAAATCTTCATGTGCTAAAAATTAATTAATAAATTCATTACGATGTTTCACCACATCGTCTCTTTCATGTCCTTCCAAATATGGACGTTGTGAATTTGCTTCGAATTTAGCACCCCATCTACGAAGATCCAGACGACAACTTCTTTCGGATCGTATCAAATCATCTCCAGTTTCTTTCTTAATAGGTGTTAATTCATAATACTTTGTATCAATAAACTAAGCCAGGTCTGTCGCCTTGACATCTCCTGACTTTTGTGAACATGCCTGAACAACGAATGCTTTTGCATCTGCTTCAATCCCGGGAAAAGTATCATATAATGAATCAGTTTGTTTACCACCGCGTAAATCACCTGAAAATTCTTCGTAATCTCCTTCGATAAACACTGCTGCCCATTTATGTGAAGTCTGAGCGGTTATAAAACCAATATTTTTCAAATATATATCGATATCTTCCCATTTAATATTGAAATAACGTAACGACATATAAAGTATATAAACAAAAGCTTTTCATTAAAATTTAATTCTTCGTCATCGATATCCATAGCATACTCATCATTTGACAAGTCGCTTGAAAACGAAACCGTTACACTTGACCAGCGATGAGCTAATGTACTTTGCACTTCATTTCTACTTTTGTTTGCTTTGGGCATACCAGACTAACTTACTTCAGCTACAAAAGAAGTTATCTTAAAGAAAGGCACATGATACTGACGCTTCTGATTATAATATGTTTTTTCAAGAAAAGGATTTCCAAAGACCCTTTGAAGATCCTGAGAATATATTCATTCGATTCGTCATCAGTTTCTACCTATCTGAATCGATTTTGACTCGGTTTGAATAAAAAATAGCCATTTTATTTAAAAATGACCTTCCGCCTTGTCCTATGATACTAGTAAAAACGATTTTTCTCAACACAGAAAAGAAAAGAAAAAAAAAACGATACGTAGCGTGGTGAGCGGTGGTATGATGAATCGAATGAGATAAAATATTTGACTCCATCACTCACGTAGAAAAACTAGATAGGTTTACAAAATCGACCTATACGTAGTGCACTCGATGCGATTCGAAGCGCCACCACCAATAAAGTTTTCGGTCTGGAGTCGATTTAACAACTCGTCCGTACTCAGTTTTTGCTGCTGAATCTGAAAAAATTATTTTCAGACGCTGAAAAAAAGAACGAAGCAGATAATTTTGCACATTTTGAAAAACATGTGTTTTTTTGAAGAAAACAACCCCTTCGGAGTATTTCGCATTTTTCGACCGGAAGGAAGCATTTGCTAAGGCTAAAACGTAGATTTTCATGATCACGTTCTATCAAATGATGTAAAAAAGACGCAAAAAACACTTTTTACTTGAAATGCGAATTGCCGGCACCTTGATATACTAGTGAATATATCTTACTGAGACATATCTAATGATGAAGAAGTGTAGGAAAAATAAGGAAGAAAACCTTATATGAATATCTAAAGAAACTGCATTCACAACGAAATGGCTCCTGTAGTTTCCACTGAAGTATTGAAAGAACTATTTGAAGAAAACTTACAGAGAAAACGGAAGGAAATGTTTTTTGATGAAATGTGTTGATGATAAGATTAATAGAAATAATGACACAAAATTGAAAATAGAAATTTACACTCTAATATTGGATGATGTTGGAAGATTAAATGATATATTCTCCTTATATTTACTGACGTTTTACCGAGCGTGCAATCATCTCTTTTCTGTGTAATTTAGAGATTATGTCCCTTTTCATCGCGGTTTAAGATCTTGTCAGAAGTTCTACAGGTATCTTTGTCGATCAATATTCAAAAGTAACAAACCAGAAGAAATTTTTCTGTCATTATTGAAGCAAGCGTCTGTTTCAATATTAATACTAGCTGTTGCTGTTCGGCGAAGATAATTAACTTCACTATCGGCACTTAATGCTTTATATTTTGCAGCCGCTTCTTTCCATTCATCTTCACTAAGTTCAAAAAACGATCTACTCAGATGTTGCACAAGAAAATCGGATACCATGCTGCTACGGCCATGACCTTTTGAGAAAAACGGTGTATTTTCTTTAAAAAACCAGCATTTCGGGCTAACTTCAACGCTTCTAACGATTCATTCATCATGAACTAGTAAAGATAAACACGAAAAATAGCATAATAGAAATTATATCTAAAAATTTATTATTTGATATAAATTGATTGATATTGTTATTTCAATACAATCTTATGTCAGTTTTAACCCCGTTTGCCATACATTCCGTTAACTCCAGAGCTAACTTCTTTAGTAGCTATATAAATTTAAAATAATATTCGCTATTACATTTAAAATTTAGCATTAGTCTAGAGAAACAACACAATATCATTTATCATAGTTATCATTCGCGATCGTTAACTCAATTTTTGTTTCTCAGTGAATATGAATCAGTTGACTGAGCATATTGCGCTACCACCGCCTTATTCCAACTTGGTTTCGAGCGCTGTGATTTTTTATCTATTTTATTTGCGCAGTCTTTTTTTTTGCTGGTACTTGTTATTACTGAGAGATCGACCTTTGCCGGTAGTATAAATCGACCATTGACGGGCCGATTTCATCACAAAACGGCCCTCTCCTTTGTCCTTAACTAATCCATCTTCACTGGAAAAACGACATTATTTTCATCATTTTCTTGTTGATGATCGGCATCCAAAAAATGATTAACCGACGTTTGAGCGATCGACACTTGAGCGACCGACATTTGAGCGCCGACATTTGAGCGATCCCGACATTTGAGCGAATCGGTATTTTGAACGGAAACAAGACAGTTGCTCGTTCGGAAGACTCCTGCGTTCGGCAGTATTATGAAAGATTACAAGGAGAATCACAGCAGAATCAAACAAATTTGTTTTGTAGGATTTCTTCTTTGATGGAATATTTGAAGTTGTACCAGAAATTTTTATCAGTAGTCGTAATTCATGCTAGTTATCGTGAACATGTATTAGCGGTATCATTTATACTATTACCTAGGAAAAGTGGGCAAATTCATCAGAAAAGGCGCAGCGATGTCGTCGACTTGGTACCGACATACAATTCACAACAAATTATGATGGACTTTCAGAAATCTGTTATGCTGTACAAATCAACTAGTTTCTATTGTAGTATCATTTTATGATTAACCGACGTTTGAGCGCCGACATTTGAGCGCCGAATTCTATCGTGATGGTAATGACATAATGATTTTGAATAAATAAAATGTTCCCTTTAGCGATATATCGAATTCTTATACAAAAATGAGGACAGTTGCTCGAAACGATTACGAAATTAGGTTGAAAATCTACACCCAGACACTTACGACCAGTTAAAATGCATCGGACGTTTACTGTCTTTATGAAATTTCTCTTGTTTTTCGTTATTTATTATGGTTCAATTTTTCAATAATCCGAAACACTGTTCCTAGAAGCATAAACATTTAAGTCCAAGTTATATGTGTACATCGTTTATACAATATTCAGAAAAAAATTGATTCGAAGAAAGAAAAAGAGAAATACAGGATAACCAAACTGAGTATTCATAAATAAGATATGCTACTATATAGAGACACCTTGTTTTATTAATGTTATGTGACGTTAATGAAGATTCAAAGTTGTGCATAAATTTTCACTTCCAAATTGAGACCACTTGTTAAATCTAATTGATAAGCATTACGAAAAAGTGGTCTCAATCATGGGGCCTCGATTTCAAGGTAAATGAAGAAAATGCACGTGCCGCAAGATAAAAAGTTTATAAGTGAGACGTGATTAAAAGAAAAAGGCAGAAATCAGATTGTTGAGACTAGGTATCTATCATTCTTTTTTTCTCTTTCTTACCAATTACGTTGATGATCTTATCTGGACAATACATAGAAAAAGAAAATATCGTAAATGCATTTTACATATTTTCATCCTTGTTCGATTACTGCGGTGGCTGCACGGTCAGTTAGGTAAGTCACACAAACTAGTTTCTATTCAATTGAACGTTTAATTAAACTGTATCACTTAATATTGTATTATTTAAGTACACAAAAATTTTTGTTAAAAACGAAAATATTTCATAAGAAGAAAAGAAGGATTTGATAATCGTCCAATGTCTGCAGTAATTGGGTAGCGAAAAAAAGAGGATGACATGAAATAAATGTCGTTTGGTTGCAGATTCGAGAAATGCTCTCTAAAAAA